CCAAATAATTTTAAATTTTTTTAATCCAACAATTATAAGGGATATCGCAGTGATCAAAGATTTAGGGCTCTCCGGCCAAGATATTACGTTGATTTGTCGACAACGACCATGGACGATGCGAACAAACGGCTACTTGAATTTACACAAGTGAGCAGCGTGCACGCAAGCAAAAATCAAAAATTCCTCAGTTTATTTGCGCTTCATGAGAAGCGGAAAGTAGCCTGAGTGATAGCAAATGCCAACAGTAACCAATGGCAGGAAAGAGTTCGATGGCTCCTTCTTTTGAGAGTTGTTTTGAATGAAAGCTGACGGCGGGGCTGACTCGCTGCCACACGCCACTACCAATTTACCATCGATACAGATGAATGAATCGTACAGGTTTGATTTTTATGCACTGGCTATACGTACGGATGCACTACGTTACGTACGCAGGCGTAACGACTCAAGTTTATTTTCAATTTGTATTATAGAGCAGAAAGGTCTGGTAAAGTTGCGCGTTCAGGTGCATGAGGACTAACCACTACGATATCCAGCTGCTAGTTCAGGTGATTTTGATGTTTCCAGTGGTTGGACACTGTATGGAGCAATTATTTACCTGGGACGGGCACCGTATTTCCTTAAGGTCTACACCATCCCAAACTGCATTTTGCCGCGTGTATCGGAAGATTCGATGTTGCTGTTTGGGTAAGCAATTTAAGTAAGTGGCAGCATTTTAAACACCTAATTTTTTTCGTTGTACTGGATCAAAACACTTACTTGGCTTCCAGGAATAATTGAATTTGAACTCGGCAGCCTGTCGATTAATGTCTGACGCTAAATGGTACCAAACCACCATCGGTGTGTCGTTCATAATCTCCTCGCTGCCACTCTCAGATAGCGTAGGATCAAAGCTAAAAAGAAAAAATTTCTTACAGAAACTGATTAAGACTAAAGGCACTTATAACGCAAGCGATTGCTTCCTTTTTTTGCGCATTCCTGTGTTTGAATTGCACTGTATCAATACAAAAATACCCATCTTCCACAGAGTTTACCTAAATTGAAGATGCTGATTAAAATGCCAATTGAGGACTTCAGGGTAAGGCAAAAGCATAACCAGACATTTGCAGAAAAACAGCATTTATGAAAACTTAGTTACAATTTTTTTTCACACATTAAGCAATCTTCATCAGCAAAAAGATTACTAGCACAACAGTGCTACTGTGTTTTCAAAATAAATCGATGTGAACTCTTTCGTGTTATTGGGGTCTAGCAGGGTGGCGATATGTTCTGTGGAGTGCAGTTATATCCTGGCCTACCTGTTTTGAGAAGCGCTCTTTCATATATTTAGATAGAAGGTAATGTCTAAAAAATTGCACTATTACTGAAAAGTCAAAAGTCAAAACATCCTCTGTATTCGCTCTTTATAAAAGGCGAAGGCACCCGAGAAGAAGTGCAAATGAAAGCAAATGCCAACAGAACTACTCAGTGGCACTCTCTTTCAAAGGTAGCTTACAAGCAAGCTGATGGCGGGTTCGATCTCTTGTCATATGCCAGTACCAATTTACCATCAAAACGAATCATCGGAATCCCAAAAGGCGAAACAACTGCGCTTGTTCTTACCTCTAGCTGTGTTAAACGTACATGACATCAAATGAAGCATTCTGATACTGCGAAAGTTGAAAGCAATGAAAGTCAAAAAATAGCTTAACTTGCAGTAAAAAAATCAACGCACAAGAACTTTGCTGAAAGTAATAAAAAAGGCATCTCAGCATAAATCCGTTATCGAAAAATGTTACTGCCCCCTCAGAAAATCCTGTCAAGTCAGCGTTTCCGGTAAAGCCGAAGCAGCTGACTCCCTGCCGAAAATTTCTTTAGCTTACACGGTGATGTCACGGTCGTTAACATGTGACGGGATGATGTTGTAATTGTTGATGTTCGTCAACATCTCCAGGAATTCTTCATCGCCATTTTTGAATTTGTATGTTATGTTCAGCACCAATCGTATACGATCGGTATGCGATGCCTGCAACATCCGTTCACCAATCGGCAGTTAACTCTTAGAGAAGAGACAGCCACGCAAACAAGCTGCAACCGCTGATAGCATGCTTGGGTTTCTTCCGAGTAACACGTCAGAAGGGTTTTTTTTTCAAAAATTGGAAGAAATTTCGGAAAAATGGATACAAAAATTACAGTAGCTGGTCGATT